CTTCCGGACGTGCGGGGTTTCGGGTCCTGAAAAGACCTCGCCAACGTGTCTTGTGTATCGTGTTCCCGACGAGGCTCCTCCGGCAATGTGTCTTGCGTACCGTGTTCGACGTCGGGTGTTCATGATGGCGTGTTCGTGTGCGCATACTAGGTTTGAGTCCCATAAGCCTCAAATTCTGCGTTCTACTTTTCTCGTTTTACTCTGCTTTTGTTTCTGAATAAAAATCAGAAATATGGGATGTGGGATCCTAACAAGAAGCAGAAAAAGTATCGCTCGTGCGATGGGAAAAGGATCGAAGGGTGATCAATCGAACGTGTCTCGGACTAGTTAGGTGGAATTGTTTGGATCTGTTGCAAACTACAGTACCAAACGGTTGGCAATTATCATAGTCCTTTGAAAACATGTTATGTCAGATAAAAAAAGTTCACTCCTTTTTTCATGGAAAACACCAAAATTTTCTAAAAAGAAATAAAAAACAAGGCGTGTGCAGGTTCCGATTTGTTTCTGACTTGCTAAATCCTAATGGTTCTTGGAAGGTAAATCTGTTGGAGACGTACTTCTACCCTTGTGACGTTGAGGAGATCTTGAAAATCAGGGCTTCACCAAGGCAGCAGGATGATACTATTGCTTGGGGTCCGGGGCGTCTAGGATCTTTCTCGGTACGGTCGGCCTATAATTTTGCTTTTGATGATTCTGTCAGGTCGTCTGAATCAGCATCAAGTTCTTCTCCTAATGGTACAAGGAAGTGTTGGGATTTTATATGGAAAACAAATGTACCCCCGGCTGTTAAAATTTTTGCATGGCGTGTGGCCACTAACTCCCTCCCAACATGGCCTAATAAGAGGAAGAGATGTTTGGAGGAATCAGACTTGTGTCCGGTCTGCCAGAGAGAGCCGGAGCACACCTTCCATGCGTTGTGTAGATGCCAAAATTCAGTTAATCTGTGGAACTGCATGAGTACTATTTGGCCGTTGCCAAATCTGGGAGATGTACAACACAATGGTCCTGAATGGCTGCTGCATGCGTTGCAACCTTTGTCTGAAAATGTACGTTGTATGCTACTGTTCACACTATGGCGTTGTTGGCATGTTAGGAATGAAGTGGTCCACTTGAAACCAGTTCCGCCCCTCGAAGTTTCTAAAAATTTCCTGTCAAGTTACTTAAATTCTATGACGAGCATTAACAAGATTTTATCTGCGATCCAATCAAAGGAAAAGGGCCTGCTGCGTTGGATTATGTTGAAACTCCAAAGAAATCTCTGAAGAAGGATGAGAACTCATGTAAGTGGATTGCTCCGCCTTAGAACTGGGCCAAACTGAATATGGATGGATCCTGGTCGGCTGATGGAAGTGCGGGAGCGGGGATGATACTTCGAGATGATACATGAAATATAATTTTCTCATCCTGCAGAATCCTTTTCTCTTGTAGGGATGCTATGGAAGCGGAACTGTATGCTTGTATGGAAGGGCTTTTTTTGTCTCTTCAACATTCAGATCAACCAATTTTTCTGGAGATGGACTCAATATCAGTGGTGAATCTACTAAAGGATGTTGACCATGATAAGTCGGTGTTCGCTTCATTAGTGTCAGAGATTAAATATATGATGTCTCTACGTAAAACTTGTATTACTTGTATTAAGCGTAGCCAAAATGTTGTAGCAGATTATTTGGCATATTTTGCTAGAACCGAAAAGAAAACTGTAGTGTGGTTGGGCTCTGGTCCACCAGGAGCGCTTGGTCTTAGCAGAGTTGATTGTAATCCTGATTTTGATTGAATAATATAAGCTGTTAGAATAGATCCGAGGCATACCGTTGATCATCCGAGAACCAAGCAATCACACAAATACAACACCGAGATTTATTAACAAGGTTCACCATCATGGTTACATCCCCGGGGCCTGACTACGGGCGCTCCTCCCCGTGACACCGTCACAATACCGCACCCCGGCAACCCGGACGCCGGCACACGTTGCTGGCTCCCTCGCGTACCCATGCTATTATGTTGGCATAGGTTACATCGTGTGTCTACCCCTGATATATATGAGAGGCCTAGGATACAAGTGTCCTATTAGGACACAACTTCTACCCTGTCTACACACAATCCAAACCAAGTCCAACGGTAACCTACCTTGTACAATAATATTCGACATAATTCTAACAAACTCCACCTTGGCGAATATTATCCACCACCTTGAATTCGTCCGTGCGTCGAACCTTCATGTACATTGGACTTGAGATACACCATGAGCACAGTTGCTACTCCCAGACTTCATGTGACTCCACCTGCAACTGTAGTCCCTTCTCGTCTTCATCACAGTCAACACTCAAGCAAAAAATTAAGTTCCTTGTTACTCTACTTTGTGCTCCCAAATTTCGGAGTATCCGCTCAACGCCATCACACACTGATCATTAATCTGCGTGAAAATAAACAACTCACATATTGGGTGTCACATATAAAAGTTACCTGAACTCAACATCACCGCTCTTTCATGACCGTCTGTCTGAAACTTGAAGAAATTTCACCGTCGCCTTGTGTCACTTTGAGTCAAATTCACAGTTGTCTCACCCTTTTTCCGGATAGTCTTTGACATGTCCCATAGCTATAGCACTCCACCTCCTTCTGTACTTATGATCCGCACTTTGCAATGTGCATTAAACACCACAGAATATACGACCATGTACTCTCCCAGCTTTTGACAATTTCAGATTTTCCGCCACTTTCTCAGATTCTCCATGGTCAACTCCTGTCCATCAATCGGCACCGATAGACCTAGTCACCAACTTGAATCTGGTACTCGTCAACACTGCTTCAGCACCCCCTGCACACTTTTGTCTGACCACATGTCTCACCATTAGTGCTTTGGTCTGTCGTTGTGTCCCGTGCTTACTGCACGCCTTGCCGCTATCACCACGCCGAGCCTCTGCTGTCCTGGTCGAGTCTCCCGGGTAGCTAGCCCAAACTCCCTCAACCCCCACTGCAGAGAACCATCGATCATCACCGACCGATGCCGAGTATCACGTCTCCATCAGACCACTGGCGCCCAGTCTGATCCACGTGTCTCTCGCTTTACTTGCTGAAATAGGTTTTGACTCTCCGAATTCTTACGTCGTAGCCCCTCCATCAGCACAGAGTGAAGTCATCCGTCTGACTCCAGCTCCACCTTCAACATGACTCCATGGTGGTTGTACGTGCCACCCTCCCGCGCCCTGTCGACTCCAAGCTCTCATGTGCACCGTCTTGAATCAACCATGCGTCATAGTCTGTCGAAGCCGCACAAGCCCCCAGGCCCGCACCACGTGTTTTCACGCCCCAGAAGTCGTCCATCATCAGCATCACGCTCCTATGTCGTCGCCGCTGAAATCACCGCCGTCTTCTGCTTTAACCAACATCCATATCGGTCCATCAGACAGTCTAGTCCGACCCAGCCGAAATTATCCGACTGCAACCATGCTCCACCCTGCATCGTGTCCGCCCGCACATCTTCGTGCATTGCTTGACGCCCTGTGTATACATGTTCCTGTCACGACGCACTCCAGACTCCTCCAAGCCTTATACGCACGTTGCCTTCCCGTCTCAGAAGCCTGGGTACACACTTCTTGTAAAGAACTCTTCAGCCACAATTATCTAGACCCACGTAGCATCTTCCATGTACCTAGCAGAACAAATAGTTGATCCAAAACAGGCCATGCAATGCTCACGCCATGCATCTGATATCCTCGGTTTGCTAGCTCTTTGCACCAGAAAGTCAACCAACGTACCATGTGCCTCTTATTTGGGAACTTTTTTTTAACCAACCAATCTCGTGTCCATGCAGCATCTACCCTTGCGTGAGCCGCTCAAAACGACCTGGACCATGTCCAGCCGTGTGCTCCGCCTGGTTCTGGCTCGGGCACACGAGCCAGCCTGCCGCTCTGCTGCTCCCGCACAGGCCACCCTCGGTCAGCCTGCAGCACTGCCTGGCCTGCCAGCCCAATCAACCGCACTGGCCGTCCCTGCACCACCGCTGTACTGCGCGCACCCCTAGGGCTTCCACGTGATTCCCGATCGAAGATCGATCGATGCCGCCGTGTACCGTAGCTGCTACCACGCGCACTGTTGCCGTGCATGAATCCCGGGCCGCATGCTGTTTCGATTCCGCCGCCCGCCGCCTGCATCTGACCTGCTTCGCGTTATTCCGATTGCTTCCAATCTTTGCCGCTGATGTCTTCCTGATCTGCATAGTTAATCCTTCTGATCTTGCGCCCATACACCGATCAATATCATCGGCAACTCCTTTAGATCAACATGCCCGTCCGCCGGATCTTGCAACCTTGCTCTGATACCACTTGTTAGAATAAATTCGAAGCATATCGTTGATCATCTGAAAACCAAGCAATCACACAAGCACAACACCGAAATTTGTTAACGAGGTTCACTATCATGGTTACATCTCCGGGGCATGACAACGGGCGCTCCTCCCCGTGACACCGTCACAATATCGCACCCCGGCCGCCCGGGCGCCGGCACACGTCGCTGGCTCCCCGCGTGCCCGTGCTATTATGTTGGCATATGTTACGTCGTGTGTTCACCCCTGATATATATGAGAGGCCTAGGATACAAGTGTCGACACAACTCCTACCCTGTCTACACACAGTCCAAACCAAGTCCAACTGTAACCTACCTTGTACAATAATATTCGACATAATTCTAACACAAGCTTTTACACGCAAAAAAAAGGAAAAATAAAATAAAATTTCAAACATTAAAAGGAAAACAGGGAAAATGAAAATGATTTTTTTTGAAAACCTCCCGATGAAACTGGTAAAAAAACACAGAAAAAGAAAAACTGGGCGTAGTCTTCTTCCTTCCTAATAAAATCGAACGAGTGGTTCCCAAAACGTTTGTTTGTCCGGTCCACTCAAGCGGGCTGTTGTAGTAGGCGGGCCGCGGGCGCTCCTTCGGTCTCGCAAATCAAGCGATACATAGCAGTGCCCTACACAGGAGGCCTACAGGCCTACAGTATGGACCGGCCGACTACCGGCGGGCGGCGACAGGAGGCTCGCCCTTCTGAGAGGGAGAGAGAGATGGAGGCGAGCAGCAGCCGGAGCCGGAGCGGAAGTCTCCCCTCGAAGCGGCGCAGCGGCGGCGGCGGCGGCGGTGGCGGGGGAAGCGGGTACGGGCTGACGGGGCAGTCGCTGAACGACGACACCCTCCGTTCCATCTTCTCACGCGTGGACGACCACTTCGACCTCGCTCACTGCTCCGCCGTCTGCAAGTCATGGTCAGACCCGCTACGCGGATCATCTCATCTCCCCTTCCCCTCCCTTTCCCGTGTCCCCTTCAGTTAATTTCCCGATTGCTCTCAGCAGTAGGTCCGTTTCGTGGTTTGTGCTATGTTCTTCTTATACTGTAACTGAACCTACTTCTCGATCTGTAGTGGATTATTATTATCGAACTTATTTTATTAGGAGAATTGATAAATCATAGATGCCCACTTCATTCCGCGAGATGGTAGATAGATCTGAGAACCTAACCAGTGAGCTACCAATTTCTGTAATAGCTACTCTTGTGCTAGTCGTTGTATTTCAGTCTGGTATTTCTGCCCGTTCTTTTTTCACCCCACAAGCCGGATGCACAATTTTCCTATGGAAGTTCCTAATTACGAAGCACGCTGTACTGTTGATTAAAGTGTGCACATATGATTTTCTGCTTCGTTGATAGGCATACGATTATCAGCACAGCCCATGTGATGAAGGATCTATATTACAAGAGGAATCCGCAGGCAAGAGGCTCGAGTTCTACTATTTCAGTCAAAAGTTATTTTGAGGCGCTTGCCATGAATGAGCACGCATCAACTCTTGCTAGAGGGTCTGCTGAAGTTCATCAGTGGATTGGTCATGATATGAGGTAAGCACTTGCTGTCTGGTATAGGTCTTATAAATGTATGCCTCTGAGTGTTATAACGTATCAGCAAAAGTAGTTACATTTGTCAACTCATCATATTTTCATATTGTTTTATCATGGCCAGTCTTTTGTTTCTTATACTTACCAAACAATGCTTCAGACCTTCAGTATCCTTATTTTCTCTTTTCTTATTTCTTGTTGCAGGGCCACCTTGTGCCGTATGAAAAGCGGTTCAGTCTTAACTGGAATGGGAGATAAGGTGAATGTTGCATCATATAGTGGTGTTCTTAATCTTCATTAATGTAAAATATCAAGTTACAAATTGTATTTGTGAGGTGCGACAAGTGGTCCTACAGCTGATGCAATGAGATGCAGATTGTCACATAAACATGGCTGTGGAAATCATGCTTGCCTAAGTCCGAAGCTGTAGATAATTAGCATAGTTCATGGCTGACGATTTCGTAGTTTCCTTTGAATATTGTGTCACCTTTCTAGTTAGTATCATCTTGAATGCCTCATCGTTTTGACACTAGTTTTTGCCAGGTTCTTCGACTTTGGTCTGCTGAAAGTTGCAAATACATGAATGAGTACAATGTCCCAAATTCCAAAATGTTGGTTGACTTCGATTTTGATGAAAATAAGGTAATCAATGTTGGCACACAATTCTATTATTTATGTATCAGCAGCTGCACTCTTCTGGTTTTGAGAACAGACATATCCAACATTCGTGCTTACTAAAATAACATTGGAAGTTTTATCTATTCTTTCACACTTGCTGGCATGGTTTTTAAGCCTTGCATAGCCAGCGCCATGAGGCGGCTGGACCCTTTTGTTTTGCTTTTACTTACTCTTTTGTAGCTTCCCAGTCTTAAATGCAAAGGCAGAGCACCTGCCTTTTAACCTAAAGAAAACATACACACATACTGATAGAAGACTGCAGCCTAGATGGGATACCTCACCTATTCATAGGTCAAAACATCAACTGTACATTTTAAACATCTTATTTATATAGATACGAGCATCTGGTTGCAATGATGTTAGCAACATGGTTTGTTGTATCTTAATGTCAAGGGGAACTGCAAAATAGACCACCTGTACTGTAATCCATATGGACCATAGCCAATGCTTGAAGTCACTCTATTATGTTTATGTGAGTTTCGCCCAAGAATTGTGGGATACTTTTCCCAGTTGATTGTTATTCGTACATCTAATTGTTAGCACAATGGTAAGCCATGTGGTCAAGCCTATCCCATCCATACATGATAATGGTGGGCAAGGCTAAACGCAGAAATGATTGTGTTCTTGTTAGAAAAATCAGTCAGTGTTTGTTTCTCGAATCATCATTCTTCCCATTATGTGCATTGGGTTGCACAAAACATAGATGCGCTTGATGTTCCATTATAGACTGTCAACATAACTCTGAAACTGGCCGAGTTGATGCTTCTGGTTTGTGTCATCTCTATTTTATTGATGGAGATTGATTGAACCGAACTGTTATAGTTACAACCTTGCATGATCTTTTCGGTCACACCGCATCTTTATTTCAACAGAGTACAGACTTACTTTTTTACCTATCATAAAAGGATTTCAATCCTCTGTGCAGATTGTAGGTTTAACTAGTTCCCAGGTTTGCATATGGAAACGCAGTGGACCAAGAAGTATATTTCAATCTCGTGGAGACACATTCAATCATGGGTTATGCATGAGGTGAGGTGCCAGGTTTAACTGTCTCGATATGACTTGCTATTTTTTTTTACCAGAAATGACAAGATTGATGTTGCCTGGTACGAAAACAATATTGAATTGGTGTTTGAAGAATAAAGACTAAATATCTGGTGCGATCTACCCTTACAGTGTAATCGTGCACTCTGGTGTCACTTGGGAGTTGTGAAACAAATGCGCATAAAGATGCCCCTTTTTTGTGGTTGTATTTCTCGAATTCACTCTACCTTTGTTTCTAATCTCAACTTCAGATCAGTATATGTTGAGAATAACAAGGATTAGGATATTCTGGGCAAAGATAAAAGGAAAAGACAAATATTTCTATTCAGTCACCGCAACTTATGATCTTTTTCTTATTCTAACACAATTTAAGTTTCTGATCTGAAATTTAAATGGTGCCACAACACTTGATAAACTATATCACCATTTTTCCCCAGAAGATTTCATATTGATTTGGTGCCCAAATTGAAGATGGATTGCATCTGATACATGTCACATGGAACCTTTTACTCCTCTCTTTCAGAATGAAAGATGAGCTTAAGGCTCCTCTCCTATTCTGGCTGGATGGGCTGCTAACCCCTTTGTACAATTCTTTTGCATGTAGCCTTGCAACATATTTTTCTTTCCAATAAAATCTACTGTCAGGGCCTCCCCTACAGTTTTATTTTTATCATGCTGGAAATCGTTTATTATTAACAGTGAAGGAGTGTCGCATAAGCTTGTGTATGCCCCACCATTATTTGAGAAAGATTTGATTATCCTAGACATTCTTGCTGTTATTTTAAGTAGGATTGACTTATATTCTCATTTTCATTTGCTTCTGCAGTTATGCCGATCCAGAGGTTGTAATTGGTTGTGAGGATGGTAGAGCCTTTGTATATGACATGTACAGCAGGAGTTGTTCGAGCATTCACCGGTAAGCACAAGGGAATCAAGTAGTATATCATGTGAATGAAGTGCTGTCTGCAATTGTTGAATTCTTTCATTGTTATTTTGTGTGCACGAGCTTCACCTTACTTCAGGGGAATTCTGTAACATCATATCCCCTTCTTTGCTAACTGCACTAGGTAGTATAGGTAATTGGTGTAAGGTAAAAAAGCTTGAACCTTTTTCTGATATCATCAACATATCACGAAAGTCAAATTATGACCGTACTTAAGTGTGTAATCATCATTAGAGGTGCATCCAGTTTGATATGCTCCTTGTACTGATGCCTATTTCACATATGATATACAGGCTTCACCCTTCCCCGGTGACATGCTTGGCAGTAACAGATGACCAGCTGATCGTTGGTGGTTCTACATTTGGAAATGTAGCTATTGCAGATCAAACCTCAGGAGAGAGGTTAGGCCTTCTAAAGTCAGCTTTTGCACCAACAGGTATGTTTTCAACTAATTCTGGATTACTAGCATGATGAATTTTCATTTCCGGACAAGTGATGGGCATGGTGTTGGTTTCGGGTCATGACTAAAAAAGCCAAGCATTTACTGGCCTTTCTTCTAGCTAGTCCTTAGCTCATAATGCAGGTAGTAAGTTGAGAAGCTTCTAAGATGCTTTGGGCCGTTTGAGCTACTTCTGCTCCTCTTTTGCAATGTCTAGATAACATCTGAACTTTTCTAATCCTTAACTACTAGTAGTAGTACAACATCTCTATTATCCCATCACAACATGTAGATATGTTACTTGATGTGTAGCTTTATGACTAGAGATATTAAGTTCTGTAATTGAAAAGCTCAAACATAGTATTTTGCTCCGACCTGCTATACAACATCGCTAGCATTCCATAGGTTGGATCAGAGGAGCACAGTAGAACTAACTATCACACCAAAAACTAATGTGTTGCTCAAAATAAATGTTCATTTTTCTCCATTGACCTATTATTTTGTTGAACTTTTTTAATATTCCTCCTAGCAAAAAGAATCTGATGTTGAACAATATAATGCTAAAAGCTCCTTTAATTTTGATTATATAAAGAATAAGATAACCCATCTCAATAAATCAAACTGCATTTATAACTTTCTGTCAGTTTTAGTTCTTGTTGGATCTTTTGAGGACAAAATAGTGAATAAAAATTCATGCAAATATGATTGTGTTGTGCTTTTAATCACCATCAAACTAACTTGTTACATTATTTATCATTTCAGTGATAAGATGCTTGTCTTTCAGTGCAAATTCACACTTAATATTCGCGGGCTCATCTTCTGGTTATGCACATTGCTGGGACTTAAGGTCAGTATCAATAGTAGTTGTTCTAATTTAGTACTGTACTAGAGGGGAACACACGCTTTGCTGGGTTACTAGATATAAAACATTGACAATGTCGAGGCAAGTAAAATTTATCCTTACAAAAATCTTTATTAGGCTATAACGACACTAGCACGCTCCACACACATGATACAATTTATATTCGGTTTTTCTTTCTTGGAAAATTTTAGAAGGATGAGAAGCACAGCCCACCGATTTTTCTATGCCGGAATTTTTTTAAATGCTGCTATCGCACGCCCCAAGCTCATATGCTTAATTTCCTCTGGATTAACGCCAGTGTTTTGATTCTCTGGTTATGCCTCAGCAAGCAGCATGTACCAAAAAAAACATTTATGTGTGTTCCATACAGAGATGCATACTGACATACTAACAGCAGTGCGCATCTTCTCTTCTAGGCAAAAAGAAAAAAAAGCATAGAAACTGTACCATGAGTCATGTATGACTACAACTGTGATACTTTCTCTCACTAATTATACCATATTATCTGAAAAAAACACCCAATGATGAAGTTTGCGCACAAGCATGTGCCACCTCTCTCCATAAAAACGCCCCCTTCCTTTAGGACAAAACTATGTTGATTAAGGCTTTGACAATCTTTCTAATAACTGAATCCCACAAAAAAGGGAAATAGTATCACCTCCATCTCATAGTAAAAACTGCAACTTAAACATCCAGTGCGAAATTGGTCAATCTAAGCAGCAGTACTATGACATTCTTGGTACCAGCCAGGTGGCATGATCCAGGAGAACCCAGCATCTTCCCATATCTGCGAGGAAAGCAGGTTTGGTGCAGAGTATCTCATAGCTTCTATTGACAGCTTGAGGATGAAATTTGGGCAACTCTAGCTCCAGTTCCTTTTCCTTAACATGCCACATGTCATTAACCTCCTCACCTGAATTTGCTGCAGCCAAACTTAGATATTGATTTCAATAGGACAACATAGTTCCCCACGTGGCTACTGGCTTTCCAACCAAATCATCCCATCACTACTTTCAAATTGACGTTTTCCATTAGGAAACTAAGCAAAAGGTTGCCCATGATACTTTCACGAAATACTCCTTAGTTTGCTATTTTGATTAGCTAAGCGTTGAGTCTAAATGCAAGTGCCAGCAAAGGTGGAAACGTTGGAAACCAAATCAACCAAGGCCAAGAACACATCAAAAGCAAAGCAAGAAGAAATTAACCTTGTACCACAAATTGGGATTGTGCCTCACATTAGCCTTTTTGCAGAGAAGCCTGCACACCATCCAGCTTGAGCCTCAATGCCCCCTATAAATGAATAAAGCCACAATGGAATTCTGCGTCCCTAAAACTATCATCTGACTGCAAGCCCAGTGGCATCAGTCGAAGGGATCTTCTAATTTCACAGATAGGTATATCATGGCCGGGAGTAAGGTAATCCGAGTTATCCAAAAACAAATCGTCAGATCAAAACCCAATGTCTATATCCATAGAGCCTGCCCGATGCATCAGACAGAGCACACATGCATTGCCAACCAAATTGATCGAACTTGAAGCAAGTAAAAACAGTACAACAGGAGAATCAGGGGAGACGGTACCTGCTTTCTTATAGATGACGAGAAACACATGAACACCTCAGGGTGGACTTCCCTGGCTGACACCCTACCTCACGCATCACTCCCTTTCAGCTTTGTGGCTGTTCGTAAGGGGAGGATGTGTTCGAGCTTCACAGGAAATGGGGCAACAAGGAGACTGCTGGAGCAGTCAATCCACAAGACAGCGCCACAAGGCCGTAATAGCATGGTCGGCGGATTCTGCGGGTGGCGGGGGTGCTGAGCTGCGAGTGCGACACCAAAGCGAACAAACCGGAGAGGAGGAAATAGGTTCAGATTAGCCACTGGGAAATGCCAGTTTTAGGAGAATGGATCTACACACGACGGTGCAGCAGCTGCTTCATGGGCCCAAGAAAAGACATGTCCTTCTCTTCTTGCCGGTGAGCCCTCTCTGTCCTGTCCTCTCTCGGCATCCTACAACATCCTGCTCTCCACCTGCACCAGTGCACCAGGCCTTATCCGGCCTTGCATCAGTGTTGTCCTTGATGTCAATATCGGTGCGCCGCCACTAGCCCTGTAGCTCCAGTGCCCCACTGCCTCTACAGCCCCAATCGCCAGTGGGCCATACTGCACGTGTTGCCTCTGTCCCCATCAGCCGTGCTGTTCCCTGCGAGGTGCAACAGCCAGACGATGGCAGGTGAGCCACCACCGGCAAGTTGGCCGACCAGACAAACGACACAGAGTAAGAACAGAGTCCTAGCGTAGGGGTGGCGATGCTACACAGCATGGTGCGGTGGCAGCAGCCAAGGTGGGGAGGAGGAGATGAGGATAGGGTTGGGTATGGTGCTTGTGGACAGAGGCGGCGCAATGGGAATCAAAATTATATTTTGTACAGGCTCGAGAGTCACCCCTGTCGCTGCCTCATGGGTCCATCATCAGGCTGGACTTGGTAGCAGCCACAGGAAAGACTCAGACCAGAGTAATAAAAAGGCTACTCCAACAATCCAAATGGACGGCTCAGATAACACGTAGCCTATATCGATCGAATGAAAATGCTTTGAGCGGGGAGCAAGGAGAGGGCACCACTTATGTCGGCCTTACAGTTTTTAGAGAGATATCTTGACAATTTAATAATTGAGGCTGCTGGCTCTAGATATGCAAAGCGTATCATGTACATTTACGTTTCAATCTGTCTGCACTTTAAGTATTGTTTTGTTCCATTGCTGTCCCCCAAGAAAGGAATGACCTGTACTCCATCCATCCGGGTATATCTATTTGGTATTCTGGATGTTGATTTTCTTTTCTATTAACCTTGTCAAACTTAAAACGTTTTGATTTGAGACAAATCTGTAGGCCTTATGTACCCGGATGGAGGGAATATGTTTTTCTGATGAACTATCCTGATTTCGCTCTCATTTTTTTAAGTTTGAGTAGAGTGAACAGAAATGGAGTATGAGCAGTGCATGGTCTCACCTAATTATTGAGTTTAATGGAAAGGTTCATTTGCTTTAGTGTCTCTGTGTGTTGATTTTTTATTAGCCTTGTCAAACTTAAAACGTTTTGATTTAAGACAAACCTGTAGGCCTTATGTACCTGGATGGGGAATATGTTTTTCTGATCAACTATCTTGATTTCGCTCTCATTTTTTTAAGTTCAAGTAGAGTGAACAGATATGGAGTATGAGCAGTGCATGGTCTCACCTAATTATTGAGTTTAATGGAAATGTGTTCATTTGCATTAGTGTCTCTGTGTGCGGTTGATAATCTTTTTACGCATGAACAACACATGTTTGTTTACTGTTGAAGCTATTGCTACTTGCTGAGAAACCTGTAATGATTTCTCATAAGATGTTAGGAGTGGTTTAGAATTCAGATTGCTTGAACATAGAAGATTACTTCCATGCAGAGAATAGAAGGAAGTTGGAAGATTACACATTCTTTTAATGTGAAGAAGATTGTCAGGACTACCCATTGATAATGTAGTAAATTATCCTGTCTAAGAATAATTTGTGTATAGAGGTCAACTAGCAAGATGCTCATTTCTACGTTCTTTTAATCAAGTGCACTTTGTTCATGCTTGTGGCAATCTATAGCTGTTTAATGCCTTAAATAATCCATAATATTTTATTATGTAAGTATGAAGTTGTTTGCATGTTAACAACCTAACTACTGGGCAAGAATGTTGGCAACGGAACCCATTGCTGAAATTTTTCTATGGAACCCATTGCTGAAATTTTTCTAATGTCATGGTCCGGCAAATCATAACTGGATCTCATCATTTTTGTTACTTTTATCTTGATCAGGACCCTGAGGCCTCTCTGGGAAACAAGAGTTAGCCCAAATGTCATCTACAGTGCACATCATTTGCCTGGTGACACTTCGATGCTGGTGCTCGGTGGTATTGATGGAGTCCTACGCCTGGTATGCCAGAGAACTGGTGAGACTATTCGAAGCTTCATCATGGATGCAGGCTACCCAGCACAGTCCAGCTCCAGGCCACAAGCTGAACAGAAGAATGTCCGCCCAGCGGAATCTGGCCCCAGGCAGCAAGTCGAAAAGAAGAGGGTCCGTGAAATTGCTCCGGATGCCCGGCTGGACAACATTCCTATGCACCTGCGCCCACCAATCACCGGTCTGTCGGTCGGCATGAAGAAGATCGTGACCACGCACGGTGAAAACTACATCCGCGTCTGGAAATTTCACTCGTAGAGTTCTTAGATTGGTCATCGGGAATCAGAAGAACTTGCGCTGTTTGTAAACGAGATGCTGTAAGTAAGCTTGTAACAGTACCCTGAAGATATAGTTTTGGTGTTGACATCGTACCTGTATCGTCGAAGATTTATTGTCCTATTGCCGTGGAAAAGAATATTTATGTCCGAATTTTTCTCCGGAAGGAAAGGAGAATTATAGCGAGTCACAATGTCTTCAGTTTTTGGTCTCGCCTGAGTGGGAGCTTCGATGCCCCCTTGCCTCCCTCCGTGCCATCACCCATATTGGCTCGGATCATGTTCCTCTGCTCCTGTCTTTTCAGGATGATTGCTCGCTCACTGCGCTTAGGTTCCGCTTCGAGACGTTCTGTTTAAGCTAGAACGGTTTTGCGAGGCCGTCCAGGCTTGCTGGCTGGAGGCCCGGCTCAGCTAGAACGGTTTTGCGAGGCCGTCCAGGCTTGCTGGCTGGAGGCCCGGCTCGCTCCTCACCGATCCATCTCTGTGGTGGATGACTGACACTTCTGTGCCAAGCGCTCTCGCCAGTTTATGAAGGGTTGAGACGCGAACCTTGGACGGGACCGCAAGAAGGCCCACCTCGCCTCCATCCAAGCGCTGAACCTCCAGGCTGACTTGGTGGGACTAGCCCCCGATGAGTGGGTGCTTTGTTACGATCTTGATGATCAACTCATGGTCATCTACACTGACGAAGAGGCGTATTGGCGACTGCGGGGAACCCAAAAGTGGGTCCTCAAGGGTGACGCTAATACCGCCTACTTTCAGGCCATCGCCAATGGTCGTAGGAGACGTAATACCATCTCCTTGCTCTGGGATGGGGAGACACTCTTGCAGCGTCAGGATGACATCCGCGCTCATGTAGATGGCTTTTATAAAGCCCTCTTTTTCGCCCCCCCTAGGGAGGGGGGCTTGGCCCTTGCTTCAGACTTATGGATTGGCACCCAGTGCATCTCGGCCGAGGAAAATATGGCCCTCACGGCTCCGTTCACTGAGGAGGAAGTGTGGCTGGCGATTAAAGGGATGAATCCCTCGTCCGCCCCTGGTCCTGACGGTCTGCTGATACGTCTCCAACGTATCTATAATTTTTGATTGCTCCATGCTATATTATCTACTGTTTTGGACTATATCGGGCTTTATTTTCCACTTTTATATTATTTTTGGGAGTAACCTATTAACCGGAGGCCCAGCCCAGAATTATTGTTTTTTTGCCTATTTCAGTGTTTCGAATAAACGGAATATCAAACGGAGTCCAAACGGAATAAACCTTTCTGGAACGTGATTTTCTTCCCGAATATGACCAGGAGACTTGGACCCTACGCCAAGGAAGCTTCGAGGTGGGCACGAGGTAGGGGGCGCGCCCTATACCCCCAGGCGCGCCCCCACCCTCGTGGGGCCACCGAAGCTCCACCGATGTACTTCTTCCTCCTATATATCTCCATATACCCAAAATACATCCGAGAGCACAATAGATCGGGAGTTCCGCCGCCAGAAGCCTCCGTAGCCACCGAAAGCCAATCTAGACCCGTTCCGGCACCCTGCCGGAGGGGGCAATCCTTATTCGGTGGCCATCTTTATCATCCCGGTGCTCTCCATGACGAGGAGGGAGTAGTTCTCCCTCGGGGCTGAGGGTATGTACCAGTAGCTATGTGTTTGATCTCTCTCTCTCTCTCTCTCATGTTCTTGAGGTGATACGATCTTGATGTATCGCGAGCTTTGCTATTATAGTTGGATCCTATGATATTTTCTCCCCCCTCTACTCACTTGTAATGAATTGAGTTTCCCCTTTGAAGTTATCTTATCGGATTGAGTCTTTAAAGATTTGAGAACACTTGATGTATGTCTTGCCGTGGATATCTGTGGTGACAATGGGATATCACGTGATTCACTTGATGTATGTTTTGGTGACCAACTTGCGGGTTCCGCCCATGAACCTATGCATAGGGGTTGGCACACGTTTTCGTCGTGATTCTCTGGTAGAACTTTGGGGCACTCTTTGAGGTCCTTTGTGTTGGTTGAATAGATGAATCTGAGATTGTGTGATGCATATCGTATAATCATGCCCACGGATACTTGAGGTGACATTGGAATATCTAGGTGATATTAGGGTTTTGGTTAATTTGTATCTTAAGGTGTTATTCTAGTACGAACTCTAGGGCTGTTTGTGACACTTATAGGAATAGCCCAACAGATTGATTGGAAAGAATAACTTTGAGGTGGTTTCGTACCCTACCATAATCTCTTCGTTCATTCTCCGCTATTAGTGAGTGACTTTGGAGTGACTCTTTGTTGCATGTTGAGGGATAGTTTTATGATCCAATTATGTTAGTATTGTTGAGAGGACTTACACTAGCGAAAGTATGAACCCTAGGCCTTGTTTCCTAGCATTGCAATACCGTTTACGCTCACTTTTATCACTTGTTACCTTGCTGTTTTTATAATTTCAGATTACAAATACCTTTATCTACTATCCATATACCACTTGTATCACCATCTCTTCACCGAACTAGTGCACCTATACAATTTACCATTGTATTGGATGTGTTGGGGACACAAGAGACTCTTTGTTATTTGATTGCAGGGTTGATTGAGAGAGACCATCTTCATCCTACGCCTCCTACGGATTGATAAACCTTAGGTCATCCACTTGAGGGAAATTTGCTACTGTCCTACAGACCTCTGCACTTGGAGGCCCAACAACGTCCACACGAAGAAGGTTGTGTAGTAGACATCAAGCTCTTTTCTGGCGCTGTTGCCGGGGAGGTGAGTGCTTGAAGGTATATCTTTAGATCTTGCAATTGAGTCTTTTAGTTTCTTGTTTTATCACTAGTTTAGTTTATAAAAAAAACTATAAAAAATGGAATTGAGTTTGTCTCATACGCTTCACCTTTTTAATATCTTTCGTGAGTATGATGGAAAGGATAATTGTGCTCAAGTGCTAGAAGAAGAAATCTATAAAATGTTTGGCACTAAATATTTGAATGATGAGCATGATTGCAATGCTGTTAGTATGAATTCCTTTAATATCCATGATGCTAATGATATGCAAAGCCACAATCTTGGGGAAGCTATGTTTGATGAAGATGATATTTTTTGTCCCCCAAGTTTTGATGAGCAAATTTATTATGATGAAAGCATGCCTCCTATCTATGATGATTATTGTGATGACACGTATGCTTTAAAGAATAATGATAACCATGAAACTTGTCATCTTGATCTTAATTTTCAATCACATTATAGTTATTTTGTTGAGTTTGCTCCCACTATTATTCATGAGAAGAATTTTGCTTGTGTGGAGAGTAGTAAATTTTCTATGCTTGTAGATCATGAAAAGAATGCTTTAGGTACTGGTTATATTGTTGAATTCATTCATGATGCTATTGAAAATTATTATGAGGGAGGAACATATGCTTGTAGGAATTGTAATAATATCAAGTTTCCTCTCTGTGCTTAAAGTTTTGAAGTTATGCTTGTTTTGCCTTCCTATGCTAGTTGATTATTGTTCCCACAAGTTATTTGCTCATAAAATCCCTATGCATAGGAAGTATGTTAGACTTAAATGTGCTAGTCATATTCTTCATAATGCTCTCTTTATGTTTCAACATTTATCTTTTATGTGAGCATCGTTGAAATCATCATGCCTAGCTAGGGGCGTTAAATGATAGCGCTTGTTGGGAGGCAACCTAATTTTATTTTTGTTCCTTGATTTTTGCTCCTGTTTAGTAATAAATAATTCATCTAGCCTCTGTTTAGATGTGGTTTTATGTGTTTAATTAGTGTTTGTGCCAAGTACAATCTTTGGGAAGACTTGGGTGAAGTCTTGTTGATCATGCTGTGAAAAACAGAAACTTTAGCGATCACGAGAACTGCTGCCATTTTTATTTGGAGAGTGCTATTTAGTTAATTATTTTTACAGATGATTAATAGATAAATTCCTCAGGTCCAGCAATTTATTTGAGAATTTTATGAGTTCCAGAAGTATACATTTGATCCAGATTACTACATACTGTTCTGTTCTTGACAGATTCTGTTTTTCATGTGTTGTTTACTTATTTTGATGAATCTATGGCTAGTAAAATAGTTTATAAACCATAGAGAAGTTGTAATACATTAGGTTTAACACCAATATAAATAAAGAATGAGTTCATTACAGTACCTTAAAGTTGTGATTTACTTTCTTATACTAACGGAGCTTACGAGTTTTCTATTAAGTTTTGTGTTGTGAAGTTTTCAAGTTTTGGGTAAAGATTCGATGGACTATGGAATAAGGAGTGGCAAGAGCCTAAGATTGGGGATTCCCAAGGCACCCCAAGGTAATATTAAGGGACAACCAAAAGCCTAAGCTTGGGGATGCCCCGAAAGGCATCCCCTCTTTCGTCTTCATTCATCGGTAACTTTACTTGGAGCTATATTTTTATTTACCACATGATATGTGTTTTGCTTGGAGCGTCATTTTATTTTCTTTTGTTTTACTTGCTGTTTGAATAAAATAACAAGATCTGAAATTATTAAATGTTAGAGAGTCTTCACATAGTTGCATAATTATTCGACTACTCATTGATCTTCACTTATATCTTTCGAAGTAGTTTGTCATTTGCTCTGGTGCTTCACTTATATCTTTTAGAGCATGGTGGTAGTTTTATTTTGAAGAAATAGATGAACTCTCATGCTTCACTTAAATTATTTTGAGAGTCTTAATAGCATGGTAATTTGCTTAATAGTAACATGCTTGGTATTCAAGGTTTGTGAAACTTTCTTTTGAGTGTGTTGAATACTAAGAAAAGTTGGATGCTTGATAATTGTTTTGAGATATGGAGGTAGTAATATCAAAGTCATGCTAGTAGAGTAATTGTGAATTTGAGAAGTGCTTGAGTTAAAGTTTGCAAGTCCCGTAGCATGCACATATGGTAAACGTTATGCAACAAATTTGAAACATGAGGTGTTATTTGATTGTCCTCCTTATGAGTGGCGGTCGGGGACGAGCGATGG